CAAAAGTAGGAATTAGATCTGCAGGAGAAGATGATGATTGAGTGGATGGTTGCGTTGGTGGAAGGTGTCCATCCTACACTTTCCTTCCCATGTGAATGCTTATGGGCTACCCTTGAGGGACATTATAATGCATAGAAGCAATAGATTTAGTTGGTACAAGCAACTGAAGCAAAGAAGTATCAACAGGAATAGGAAGAGGAACTATAGAAGATGAGGACTGTGAACTTCTTATGGAGTAGGATAAAAGGAATCCTCATCAACCATGCGACCTCTTCTAAAATATAGGAGTATTTTTTAAAAAGGTACCATCAGCACAAATAAGTTTTTTTTGTAAACCAGCAGGATAGCATTTATAACCTTTATGAAAAGCATGAATACCCTAGAAAAATACACTTGACAACTCAAGGATCTAACTTATCATTAGCGGCACCCAACATATGAACAATGAAAACACACCCAAACACTTGTGGAGGAACAACAAATAATGGAGTATCAAGGGAGAACAAAGTGTGATGTTTTTCCATTCAAAATCGAAGAGGGCATACGATAAATTAAATAGCATGAGGTCCGCAAGACATCTCTCCAATAAGCTTTCGGAGCACACATACTAATCAGCAAAATGCAGGTTACTTCAAGTAAATCTTGATTTTTTCCTTTTAGCAACCCCATTCTGTTGAAGAGTATGCGCACAAGAAGTTTGATGTAAAATTCCATTTTGAGCAAAATAATTTTAAAATATATGGAAAAAATACTCTTTAGCATTATCAGAACATAATACACACAAATTCTTGTTGAATTGAGTTTGGATTCCTTTGTGAAACAATTTAAAATAGAGACAATTTCAAATCTTCTTTTTATTAAATATAACCATGACATTCATGTATGATCATCCATGAAAATTAACAAAATATTTATGGCTAGACAAACTTTGTACTCTAGCATGAGACCAAAGATCAAAATTTACAACTGTAAATGGAGTAAGTCTCCGTTTATCAGTTCTAGAATGAAATTCCACCTTATGATGCTTGCTTTACTGACAAGCCTCACATTCTGAGGTAGACACTAGCCCTAAAGAAGGGATGAACAACTTCAAGTTATTGAGAGAATGATGGCCCAACCGACAATGCCATAAAAAGGGAGAAGCAGCAGAGTAAAGAGCAACACCAATAAGATTATCATCGAAATAGTATAAACCACCTGACTCATACCCATCACCAATAGTCGTACTCGTCCTCAAATCCTGAAAGACACAAGAGGAGGGGTAAAATGTTACAGAGCAGTGAAGAGATTTAGTTAATTTGCTCACAAACAACAAACCAAAAGGAAACTTTGGAACATATAGCATAGGGGACAGAGAAAGGAAAGAAGTACACGTGATTGTACCCTATCTAGACACACTAAACAATGATCCATCAGCTAAAGTAACAAAGGAATTAGGAGCCAACTTATCTAGAGACACGAAAATAGAAGACTCACTAGTCTTGTGGTCAAAAGCTCCTAAGTCTCCTGAGAGAACGACCAGGGGAGTAGGATTCTGAGATGCTAAGCAGCATAAAGTAAAGAGTTAGCAAGGGTGGCAATGGAAGTAGAAGGATGGACACTAGGCTGTTGTACTTGTCTAACAAGTTCATTATATTCTTCTCTTGTAAGCACAATAGAGTCAACAACAGAATTTGATTATAGGTGATGATTACTAGGCCCATTCAGATAAACACCATCATTGTCAAATGTGTAAGTAACCTAACCTGATTTGCCCAAGCAAGCTTACCAATCTTATCTCAACACTTATCAATTGTATGACCTGTACGCCCACAATACATACACTTTCAAGTTCCACAACCCTTGCATTCATCACCTCTACCACAGCCCCTTCCTAAGTCATGATCACGTCCCATACCTCTGACTCCATCACCTGTCCCCACAAATGGGTTCCATGCTAACCCATCACTAACACTCAAGTCCGAAGGTGCAGGAGAGGGAGATAACATGTTGAATGCACACATACACATTATCAAGAGATGGCAACTTACTCCTTTGCCAAAATCTATCCACAATAGGATAATACTCAGGATTATGACCCAATAAAAATTTGGCAACTCTGGATCCTTCACATTGCTTCCTCCATAATTCTGCATCACCATATATAGGCTAATAGAAATTCAACTCTTCCCACATACCTCTAAGGGCACTATATATACACTCACAATTACCTTGTTGCAATTGGAACATCTTCTCAAATAGTACATATACCCAAGAGGTGTTCTTATATGATGAATATGTTTCTTTCAGAGTGTCTCAAATTTCTTTAGCAGTCTCAAGAAACATCACATATGCACTTATTTGAGGCTCCACACTCTACAGCCAAGTCATGATTATGTAATTCTCTCTCATCCACTCTTCATATCTACTATCAAACTCACTAAGTATTCAATTTCCCCTAACACTATCCGATAACTCATTTAATTTTATTTAAGTAATTTGTATCCCCACATGTTCAGGAAGACTGAAGGTTCCGGTTTTAATTATATTAGCCATGAGCATAGTAAATAAAAGATAAATGGGCCAACTAAGTTCATTTGAATACAATCACCCACACCAAGCCTAGTAGAATGCCAGAAACAGTTTTTTCCCAAAAAAAAAAAAGAGAAAGAAATACTTGCCATTCAAATCTGAGAATACCAACTTTCTCACACTTGAGCGAACTAATAGGCAATAGGGCAATACCATGTTATCCAAATCTGAGAATCAACATGCTATCACTCTTTGATTAGACTGGGGCAGCACCTATATACAAGAATAACTTAGGATTTTGAGAGAAAATTTTGGCAAATCAATCACAGTTGCCCACAAACCTCGAAAGTAGGTAACGATTCTTCTATTGATATCAATTTTCAAAGAAGAATAACACGAACAGCAGCATCACCACATTAAATGCAGACCCAACAGGGTTTCTGGGCACAAAAAAAAAAAAAAAAAAGTTCTTTAGGAAATCAGATCGAACAACTCTAGGAAGTAACCCCCCATTTTTTGTTAGGCTAGAGAATAACATCAAAAGGGAGAAGATTGAAAGAGAAGAAATATGTTGCTGTTAAGGTAGAGAAGAAAATAAAGATGGAGAAGATTAAATGGGAAGAATATTTTAGCATAGAAAAGAAAAAACAAGAGGGAAGAAAAGGATCACTGCTCTGATAATATGTCAGAGAAGGGAGAGAGATGAAAAGATGGAGGAGGAAGGGAGAGTAATGTGAGAGTGCCAATTTGGTCTCACGCACCTCTCACACCACTTTTAGATTAATAAGAAATAGTGAAAGGGCAAAAGAAACATACCAAATGAATTGTGAAAAAGTATTGTGGTACGCATTTACATGAACAAAAGGAACATCCAGAAATATACAAACTATTGAGGGACCAAAATTATGAGTCATACTATGAAATTACAGGAGAGAGTGATTGAGCAATGACTATAATATGAAACAAGTGTATCAGAAAATCAGTTCGGTTTTATGCCAGGGAGGTCAACAATTGAGACTATTTTCTTAATTAGGTAATTGATTGAGAAGTTCAGGGAGGAGAAAAGATCTTCACATGGTCATTGTTGATTCAGAGAAAGCATACGAAAGGGTCCCTAGAGAGTTAATTTAGTTGGTGTTGAAAAAGAAATGAGTGTCTAGAGGACATTGACATGGTGAGAGATATGTATGAGAAGACACTAACTAGTGTGAAGACAACTAGTGGAGAGACAAATAAGTTTTCAATGATAGCAGGCCTACACCAACGGTTAGCATTGAGCCCATATCTCTCTATTTTGGTTATCGACGAGTTAACTAGGCATCTACAAGATAAGGCACCATGGTGTATGTTATTTATAAATGACATAGCTTTGATTGATGAAACTAGAGACAACAATAATGCAAAGTCAACTTTAGAGGGATGCTCTAGAATCTAAAAGTTTTAAAACAAGCCGGACTAAGGCTAAATATATGTAATGCAAGTTTAATTATAATAGGAGTAGAAAAGAGGAAGTAGTAAAGAATGACGGCCAAAAATTACCTAAAAGAGACTATTTTCAATATCTTGGATCGATAGTCCATGAGAATAGAGAGATTGAGGAAGATGTCTCCCATAAAATTTTAGCTGGGTGGACGAAGTGGAGATGTGCTTCTAGAACCTTATGTGATCGTTGCATACCAATGAAATCGAAGGGGAAGTTTTATAGGATGGCTTTAAGACTAACCATGCTTTATAGGAAGGAATCTTGGGAGATCAAGAAAGAACATGTCCATAGAATGAGTGTATCCATAGAATGAGTGTAACCGAGTTGAGATGGATGAGTGACATGATAAGAAAGGATAGAATTTAGAATTAATACATCCAAGCAAACTTAGAGGTGGCTTCAGACAAGGGAAAGTAGACTTCGGTGGTTCGACCATGTGTAGTGTTGACCTAGAAAAGCACTAGTTAAGAGGGGCGATTTTGGTTCAAATGGAAGGCTCTAATAGGGCAAGGGGAAGGCCACAAAGAACATAGATGAAAGCAGTGAGAAGAGCTATAGTAACTTATGGTCTGACTAAAGGTATGGCCCGTACTAAAGCAGAATAGCATACAAGATTCGAGTTGAAATAAGGGTCAGATGATGATAATGATGATGGAACTAACTATCCATTAGAAGCATCATGAAACAATTAAAAGAAAGAATACTTTCCTTCTTCAGCAAGCTTCTGAAACCTTCAGATATTAAAATATGAGAATATGTTGTTAATGAATCTAAATATTGGGAGGCTCGATGATGCACACCCAACAAGATGCTAAATTTTGATAAGATAAAATCTTTTGAAGTTCAAATTTCCAATCAAATAAGTGACTTGCAACGTATAAAAGACATATCCCTTCCATCTCTTTTAATCTAGGATCCATACGTATGACCACAATAACTAAAAACGAAACTCATGGAACTATCCATTAGAAAATATCTAGAATCATTTAAAAGAAATAATACTTGCCTTCTTCAGCAAGCATTGCAAAATCTTCAGATGTTGAAATATGAGAATCTGTTGTTAATGAATCTAAATATTGGGGAGCTCTATAATGCACACCCAACAAGAGGCTATAATCCATTATCCCTTGTGTCTGTAAGAACTGGCTATCAATCTCTATTTGCCTGCATAAACAAGTGAAGTACAACATTAAGAAAAGTACAAATCCAAAACTATAAAATAAGAACAACTACGCAGTTTTAAAAGTTTCAAGAAGAATCCACATAAACATTCTAATGGATACATGAATGGACACAAATATTCGAAAAAATTAAGTACAATGATCACAACTACTTAAAATACAGAAGGATAAAGAATAATCATTATGTCAATATGATCATGTATGTGGCACAATATAATTGAAGAGCACAATTACATTAGACAATTTTACATGTGCACATGCATGAAAATCCCATCAAAGAAAAAAGAACGAATAATTGCAGTGTCTCAAGTCCTCATGTTAAATGTGTGGTGGGTGTTTGGTATATTCTGAAGTGAAGAGTGTATGTAAGTAATTTAGCTTTTCTAACACAGCTGCACAGTCCAGCATTTTGGTCCCTTAACATATGTAATGTAATTTTACAAATGAGGTTATGAATAGATCATACCGATGAATGTATGAATATTGCAGAAGAAACAAAGACATGGGCATATGTCATAGGGTTTGACATGGATATGAGCGTCAAAAACCCTGAACTGAGTGTTGTCTGAAGTATGGGAACTACATTCTAGCGTTGGAATGATCTTGAGAAAATCTTGGTCTAGGCCTTCTCTTTTGTTCCCTACAAATTTCCTCCTCCATCCTCCTCTGCAACCAACCCTCAACCTTCCTGAGGTCAACTCTTCCAGCATCCACAAAGCCCCCTCTCCTCATAGAGAGGGTGAGTATGCCCCTCATCCACCAAATGTTCCTTTTATGGCATTAATTACAGCCACAACAAGACATGCAAACTAGAACCCAACCAGATTTTTCTTCCACCACTTAACCACAACCACACTCACCTAATTAAGCCTTCCTCACTATACAGTGAAATTCTTATTAATGCTCGACCAAATAATGAGATCACGCACTCAAAATCCCAAATATCGACCATTACCAAACCCCCTGCCCAAAAAAATAAATAAATAAATTGAAAAAAATTAGAAATTAAAAAAAAAACAAAAAAAAACCCACGTCCCGAAACCCAACCCCGCATCCCACCAGGTTATATCTTCTTCCATATTGAGGGTTTCTTCATTGAGGAAAAAATTACGCTTCCTCAAAATTCAATAGTCGCCACCTTTAAGCCATTGAGACAGAACCAAAAGCATTAAAAAATGGTTAAGTGCAACAAGCGCTTCTTCCCAGATAAACCGCAGGGCTGTCTCAGGCTGGGTTATACCCCTTCTCATTCCCCTCGCAACAAGTACTAACTGCAAAGGCCCTAGCCAACAAGAAACTCAACTTGAAAGGGCGAAGACATCATCCCCAAACCTAGTCCCCAAAGCTGTCCCCTACCAAAAAGAACAGGTTTCGGATCCAAGCAAATGGCATACCCACTCACGCCTGGAATCGAGACACTTCAAAGCGATCAGTCACAAATGTGGTTAGTTCCTGAAAATAGATTGAAAATCATTTGGATTACTCCCACTAGGATTGGTTAATCCTCTCACCCTAATCACATTCCATTATCCATATACCTTGTCATCTGTGGCTCAAGGTACTCATCACTATCCAAAGCCAGTGCCCATATATGTGTAGAAATCTGCACCCAACACATTGCCACGCCACTCCATTTCACACAGTCACTAGCCGACCATTTGGATATTCATTAAATGGGACAAACCAGGCGTTGCCTTATGTGGTTGACTCAACTGCCACAATCAACCAGTTTTCACAAAGAAAAACAAAATCCACATCAACCGGTGCACCATTAAGTTCTTTGTCAGAGGTGCTAATGTGCATGGCAAAAATTGAGACCCCATTAAAAGAGGTCATTGTCACTATCTCATGGCAAAGCTGTCCCCCCTTTCAATGCCTAATGCATCCCAGGCATTAAATGCCCCAATCCACAGCAAGGACACTACTCAGCCAACCTAGGTGACTCAGCTAACCATCTCAGACACCCCTCAATCCACCATCCCATGACCTAACGCCCACAACAGCAACAAAGTTGACATCACTCGAACCGTCATACCCAGCTGGCACTCATCTACCTCAAACTCTGCCAGGTCACTTCTCGAGACCCTTTCACGAACAGCTCATCGTCCACGTCACCCAAACCACCAACCTCATGCCACCTCACCTGCCACAAAACTCCCTCCAAATTCTCAATCTACACCCAACTCCTAGCAGCCAGTCCCCCACAGTAGCCACACCTCGAACTACATCTCAGTCATCCATTCCATAGCCCTTACCTATGCAGAAATATGTGCCCACCATATTGCCACACCGCTCCATTTTGCACAATTGTTCAACAGCCGCCCATTCTGGATCTTCATTAAATGCGACAAACCAGGCAATGCATTACATGTATGACTCACTGCCACAAGTACCTCCACACCAACCGAAGTACCCTTAAATTCTTCATTAGAGATGCTGATGTGATGTACATGGCAAACACTAAGACCTCATTAGAAAAAGGTCAGTACCCCTGCCTTACCAGGCAAAATTGTCCTCCCTTCGACACATGATGCAGTTGAGGCATTAAATACCCCAACCCACAAGCAAGCTAGCATGTCTCTTACAAGCCTCATCTAGGTGACTCAGCTAACCACGTTGGACACCCCTCAAACCATCACCAAAGGATCCACCACCACATTAGAGCTAAAGCCCACTTCAGCAACCCCATTGAAATAACTCGAAATGTCACACCCATCTGGCACTCACTGCTTTGAACTCCACCCTGCCACTTCTCAAGACCCTTCACGAATAAACCCCCCCCCCCCCCCCCCCCCCTTCCCCTCCCCCCCCAAAAAAAAAAAACCAAACGACCAAAAAAACAAATCTGCCGCAAGATGAACATATTTACCCCCTCCCCCTGATAGCTTTGGGCTCACAAGGCTCCTTCACTCATTCCCTCTGCTTACACCACTCCGATCCACCATGTTTCACCTCCCTCTACCACTCCAATGGAACCTTTCATCCCACCTTTCTCGTTTGTCCCCCTACACCTCTCTTCGCAATGGAACCTTTCATACCATCACATCAGACCCTACACCCATGTAAGTATCATCTTGCCTAAGGTAACACACCAAGGGTCTCTAGCCGCCAGCCCCATGTGCATGCATCATGCATCATACTTTAGGGGTACTATTACCAAAAAAAAAAAAAGTCCCCGATAAGAATTGAAGAAATTCATCCATAACAACTGCTCATTATAAACCCAATCCATTACATGTGCACACAACCTCTCTCACTTGGCCCATGCCATTCAAGCACCCATACTTGACTTTTATGGACAACACACTACCAGCAAGATATGGTCAGATCATCTCTTACATAAGCTCCATGCCCATGTTCCACCAGGTTGAGCTTTCCACAGACAAACCAACCAAGCCTCTAACTGAGTTGGCCATCCGTCTGCACCATCCTGCTAAAGGTCTCGCACCAAGGGTCGCTAGAGTGAGTGCATCATGCATCACACTTTAGGGGTATTATTCCACTAGGAATGGAAGAACTTTTTAAAGAAGAATGTCGTAATAACATGCAAGACTCTCTGCACATGCAGCTAGAACAACACTATACAACACAACTATATTTAACAGAGTATTGTCGATAGATATCAAAAGCCTAATATCTCTGTCATAACAGTACAGATATGAGAACACAGAACAAGGACATAGAGGCAAGCTTACTTCAAGAGAGAATCCCGCCATGAAGGTTCTAAATAAAAGAGATAGTTTAAATCCAAATCCTTTAGAGTTGTATTTTCATCAATTTCAACCTTGTCAACTGAACGCCCCTGCGATGAACCTTTCAAATCAAACCTCCGGTGTATCCGCAACTCCGTGCAAAACATATTACCCATTACCACAAATCTGAACTGCAGAATCAAAAAATCTTTATACAATTATCATGGAATGCAGCACATAATTGTAACACGTTTATTAAGGGAAAATTCCTTGCTATCAAACACATATAAACAACAGCTTGAAGAATTAGAATAGTAATCACACTCATGCCTATTACCTTTTGTCCACTTGAAGGCTTTATCCTATGAAGCCCAAAAAATTTTGTTATAAGGGTGTTTTCATAGGTTTGGACATGATGATAATAGTTTGGAAGCATCCGCAAGAGAACCTGCATATTAAATATTGAAATGAAGTTTTTGATTGCTGAATACAATTGCCTAATATGACAAGTCTCAAACAGTTTTTATACTTTTAAGCACAGCAAATTCATTACCAGAAACCATAAACAGTACCAAAGAAATTTCTTCTCAAAAAGAGAAAAGATTGACGAAGTAGACTGAAATTAGATGAACAATGAAATCCAAGATGGTGACAGTGCATTATTACATAGTATGGAGATTCTCATAACTTTAACAAGACCAAAAATGCATACTCCTTACCGATTCTTCAATAAACACCATAAGGAACTCCATGCCCAACAGAGCAAGTCATAGAAGCAAAATGTGAAGAAAAACTGGAAACCTAAAAATTTGACCTAGTATGCGGCAGGACAACTTCTATGCAAAACATCTATCCACCTTTATGATTTTTTTTTCTTCTAATTAACTTTCCCATATAAATGTGAAAATTACACTAGCCATCAGGAGAACAGGTCGATGTTTCATCAGCACTTTGAACGAGAGAATCCACCAAAGGAATTTTCAAAAGAATAGAAAAATTGATTCGACGAATTGAACAACAAGGATACTAACCTGAAAAATGTGGCGTGGAATAACCATCCAAACAAAAAGAAGACCAAGATATCAGCGGGACCATCCATTAAACTTTTTTTTAGCACTATAATCACACTTAGAGAAATAGAGAAGAGCATTGAGAAGAAGATCCTGATGCGTAATACATGAAATAATTGAAGTATTGGATTATATTGATGGTAATACAACTACTAGATAAGCCCTTGGAGGAGAGATGTAAATATAAGTCCTCTAGAGTCTCACAACTTTGTACCTTTTCCACCAATCACGAGAGAACTCTGAAACAGATAACGATGATAAAGGTATAACAAAAGTAGGGTATCTATTAACATTGGTAGACCAGATGCAAATGAACTTTACCAGCAAATGAAAGATAATTTCGAAACTAATAGACCTGACTCACTAAGCACAATAAACCTGACCTAGAAAAATATTGAATAAAGCCCATGGTAGTTAATTATAGTCTTCAAAGTTCAAGTACCATTTGAGTGTCCACATCCATGTATCTGATGTAAACAGACACATCAAAATGACAAGATCATAATCTTGTTATGTCCAAATAGACATATCAAGTATAACTTTATGGCCAATTGAATAGGCAATGCAGTGGGAGATGTTTACCAGTCTTTCAAAGAAAGGGTAAGAAGTCATATATTAGTCACACATGGCTCTATTCATACAAGCCTGATGTCAATGCCATTTTATGGGAAGTGGAAGCAAGAACTTAGGTACTGAAGATTAGACCAATATATACATTTTTGGATGCAGAGCTTTGATCGTATTTATTTGTAACAAAGGGAGACAAGACTTCTGTGGATAGTATCCAAGCAACTGGACATGACGCTCATCAACCAGAACCATGTTCTAATCCAATGTTTGAACTGGATGGTTATGCTGAGCTTATGGATTGGACGTGTGTGCTACTTTTGGGGAATAGTGATGCAAAGTGCCATTATGAGGCTCTCATGCAATCATATGAACCTTACTTGACATTATTCCACAATATCAAAATGGGCGAGCAAGATTCTTTTCTCACCAAGTATCCGTCTGGAAATAAAATCAAGGTATATACAGTTTTTGCTCTTCCCATGATTTGGCATAGCACCAGATGGCTCTAGTGGTTGCTTTTATCAGGTAAGTAGCCCATCGAAATAACTAAGTTTACTGCAGAGGGCACTGTTATCTCTTCAACTCCTAGTGCACCAACCCAAGGATTTAGATTTTGTTGCGGCATGAGGCCTTTGTAACTTCCTATAAAAATTCATGTCTAAAATACTTGCAAATAGACTTGCGTGCTCCAAACAAAGCTGATATCATAGAAATGAGCTGGTTGGTTCCCAATTTTTGCATCTCTCTCTCTCTCTCTCTCTCTCTCTCTCTCCTACCT